AGCAGGCAGCTCCCCTCCTCAGTCAGGCCAGGCAGCTTCTTTCCCATCCCTTCGTGGTTTAGTAAGTTCCAACTTGAAGCAGGGGACAGGCTTTGGAGACAGGTCCTCTGGCTTGTACAAAGTCTTTCTATATACATTTTCTCTCGAGTAACAAAGCTACTTTGCAAGACCCGCTTTTTCCAAAATTAAAAAAAAAAAAAAAAAGCAATACTAGTCTGTATTTGTTTTAATGGGTGTGTTTTTGGTTCGGATTTTTTTTTTTTTTTTTTTTTTTTTTTTTTTTTTTTTAGCAAAGCAGCGTAGCAACCTCGTGGTTGTTGGACATGCCTGAGGTTATGGTCACAACTGTAAACACTTGCTCATCAGTCCAAAAACAAACTGGAGGAGACGGGTTCTCAAACAACAGCAACGACGACAACAAAAACAAAATACCGGTTCACGCGGTCACTCTGCGCTTCTCCTTCCCACGGGCCCGCCCGTGGCGAGGCTGACCGAGGTCCTGTTTTCCTCCAGGAGGTGAGGGAGCCGGGGTGTGGGGACACTGTCGGCAGCACCAGCTTTTCCCCCCGCCGCCGCTGCCCGATGGGAGCCATCGATCTTGGAGCCGGTGGCGGTGCTGACGGCGGAGCTGCGCCCGGGGACACCGGGAGGGGAGGGCTGCCTCCAATCCGGGCCACCGAGACCTCGTGGCCAGACCACCGCCGAGCATGGCGGCGTGCTGGTTCCACACGCCAGGGCCCACGTTCACGGAGGGGCCGCGATCTCCGTGGGACACACCTCGGGGACCCCGAAGGGCGGTGGTGTGCTCGACGGCCAGCTCCCTCCCGCGGCCCGGAGCTGTGGTTGGCGCCGTGCGTCATGGAGTGGACCTTCAGGTTGCCTTTGGCGGTGAAAGCTCGCCCACGTGTATGACACGCGAGAGGCTTCTCCCCGGTGTGAGTCCGCTCGTGAATCCGGAGGGCGCCGGCCGACGAGGAGTCCTCCTGCACCGCATGCAGGCGTGCTGCCTGCTCTGGCGGCCTTGGCTGGGCTGCCAGCAGAGGTGCCAGGCCTGGGCACAGGGCAAAGGCCAGCTAGGAGGACCCTAGTGAAGTTAATAACAATGGACCTACCTACATAGTTTAAGTTTAAAAAATGTGGCTCTCAAAAGAAATTCCAGTCGTTGTCCTGTTGATGTTTGGCTCTGGTGACTGATGAGTTTGCCCACCACTGTCCTGGGGCACCTGGGAGGGTGGGAGGGGAGGAAGCCGAGCCGCTCTGCCAGCTGGTCCCAGTGGGCCTGTAGGGATGTGGTGAAGGGGGAAGGGAGGGAGGGAGAGAGGGAGGGAGGGAGGGAGGATTCCATTGTCTCCCAGCTCCCCTCACGGCTTCTCAGCCGCGGGTTGGGGGCCGGGAGCTGAGGGACCAATGCCCACTCCGGTCCACACAGATCCCAGGCGGGGACCCAGCTGCCAGGCCCAGCGGAGCCAGCTGGTCACGGGCGCCCTCCAGCGGCCACAGAGGCCGTGTGTCCCGGATTCCTTCGACCCACAGGGAGGGAGCATGTCTGTGCCAGGTGTGGTGGCAGGCACATGTTTCAACTGAGAACACATCCTCGTCAGTCACCTGCTAACCGGGAGGCGCTCTCGGTGCTGTGCGTGGGGAGAGGGTGCGAGGCGGGCCGTGTTCCTTACAGCGGGCTCTCCGCCCAGCGTGCATCAGCCTCTCATTGGCCTCCCCCAGGAACCTGAGAGAGACGCCTATGCCAGGACCCCGTGCGGACGGATGGCGTCGGAGGGCAGGGCACAGGCACCCCGGGTGCGAGATGTGAGAGTCAACTACGTTTCTGGTTTGGCTCAGTGGATAGAGCGTCGGCCTGCAGACTGAAGGGTCCCGGGTTCGATTCCGGTCAAGGGCATATACCTTGGTGGCAGGCACATCTCCAGAGGGGGGTGTGCAGGAGGCAGCTGGTCGATGTTTCTCTCTCATCAATGTTTCTAATTCTCTATCCTCTCTGTAAAAAATCAATAAAATATATATTTTTTAAAATAAAACGTTTTTTGCCCTTATTCTCACCTGGCTGCTGAGTGAGGTGTTATGGTCCCATTTCCCAGATGAGGAGACTGAGGTCCATGTGAACCTGCCCCTTTCCCGGGTGGGGCAGTGTCTCCCACGGCATGGGGAGAGGGAAGGCCCACAAGCACCACCCCGCCCCTCCCCCCCGGCTGCCGGATCTGAGGAGGCACCATCGGATTGTGTGCCGGGAATAGAAAAGGCCAGCACCGAGGTCACTGGGAAGTGACTGGCACTTTTAAGGAAGCGAGTTAAGAGGCCAAAGGGCACACACCCAGGACAGCGTGGGGGGTGAGGGGTGTCAGAGGGAGGGGAGGGCTCATGTGGGGCTCGGGGTCAGACCGCCAGTCGGGGCTCCTGGAAGCGGGTCCGAGGCCACCGCTGTTAGATGTGCAGCGGCCCTGGCTCCCGCCTCTGGGGAAGACCCTGAAGACCAAGCGCCCCCGCAGTTGTGAGCGTCCCTGCGCCCTTGGGGACACGTCCTCGGCTCCATCCCTCCCGCCAGGGGAGCCCGGAGCCGGTGATGCAGGCGATGAGGAGCCGCTGAGCCGCTAACCTGCAGCCCTCGCCTGGGTTCTGCATCCACTGGGATCCTCACTGCCCACTGAGCCACCCTGCCATCCGCCCGGCGGGACCCACACAAGCTCCCCGACCTTTCTCCTTCCTCACTCACAGCCAGCCTGCTAGCTCCTTACAGCCATGCCACAGCCATGCCACAGCCATGCCACAGCCATGCGACAGCCATGCCACAGCCATGTCGCAGCCATGCCACAGCCATGTCACAGCCATGTCACAGCCATGTCACAGCCATGTCGCAGCCATCAATGATTGATAGGCTGCCTCCTGCACTCCCCCTACTGGGGACCAAGCCCCAAACCCAGGCATGTGCCTTGACTGGGAAGCGAATGATGACCTCCTGTTTCATGGGTCGATGCTCAACCACTGAGCCACACCAGCCAGACCCGATCACGCCATTTTGCTGCTTGCAGTTCTGTGTGCCCCGCGGCTTGCAGGATATCCCTCGACGCCTTAGTGCAAGCACGTCAACCTCAAAGGCTGACACGGGCCAAATAAACAGGTGTAAGTGGATGTGGGCCACAAAAATCAAAAGCTTCATTTTCGTAGAAACGGTGCCAACTACAAAGGGCTGAGATAAATGAGTCGTCGTGAGCATAGAATAATAGAACATTTTAATAAAAATTAATGTTTTTTTTTTCTTGAAAAAGCACTTACCAGACACGGAATAACTGCACAAATTAATAAGCGTAATAGAAATAAACCTATTTTTCTTGTTCTCCAAAAGCGAATTATTTCCCGTTGTGCACACCAAACAAGTCAGTCCAAGACTAATCATGTGGCCATCGGCTGCTGAAATATCTGCCGCTGGTGTTAGTGGAGAGAAATGGTGCACTTACACATAAGGTGCATGAGGGAAATGAAGGCAACACGACTACAGTCATCAGTCATTAGCGAACGCTGTAGTCTGTTACTAATAACTGGAGGCCCGGTGCACAAAACTCGTGCCCTGGAGGGGGGTCCCTCAGCCTGGCCTATCCCTCTTGCAGTCTGGGAGCCCTCCTGCTTGCTGCTCCGCACTGCTGCGGAGGCGGGAGAGGCTCCTGCCACTGCGAATGCCTCTCCCGCCATGAGCCCTGCTTCTGGCTGAGCGGCGCTCCCCCTGTGGGCACGCACTGACCACCAGGGGGCAGCGCCTGCACCGAGCATCTTCCCCCGGCTGGTCAGTGCACATCACAGTGACCAGTCATTCTGGTCGGTCCGCCGTCAAAGTTGCTTAGGCTTTTAGTGTATAGGTTACGTATAACAGGATATTGTAAAAGTTGAGTTACGGAATTTTTATTAAAATGTTTCTTACATACTGTTACCTCGGCTGGGCCGCAAAAATATTTGTTGTGGGCCAAGAGTTTGACATGCTTGCCTTAGCCTCGTGGTCGGCAAACGGCGGCTGGCGAGCCACGTGCAGCTCTTTGGCCCCCTGAGTGTGGCTCTTCCACAAAATACCACGGCCTGGGCGAGTCTATGTTGAAGAAGTGGCGTTAGAAGAAGTTTAAGTTTAAAAAATGTGGCTCTCCTAAGAAATTTCCATTGTTGTGCTGTTGATATTTGGCTCTGTGGGCTAATGAGTTTGCCGACCACTGCCTTAGGCATGGTGCTCACCGCCACTACAGGCCTTGGGAGGCGGCAGAGGTCAGTGCCGGGAGTCTGCCCGCCCGGCTGACCCTTTCATGCAGCACAGCCCCAGCATGTATGCCTGTCGCATCCAAAGGTCATGAATAGATACATGCCTGAAAGCATGAATGAGCAACTGAACAAATGAATAGGTTATACCGCTGCCTGGCTCAGGGGAGTCAGAAAGGGCTGGAGTGCCAGAGGGAAAGGCAATGTGGGGGAGGGTCCCCCTGTGTGCGGGGCTGGAGCCTTGACACAGAGGCTTTGGAGACCATTGTCGGGCGGGTTTGCGGGGGTGGTCCTGGGAGAGGGGCAGAGGCGGAAATGTCGGGAGCGGAGGCTGAATCGAGGGGAGCAAGGCTGCCGGGCTGTGAGGAAGAGCCCAGGGCCTCCCCGGCCCCCCAGGCGGCAGAGCAGCTCAGCAGCCCGTTTGGAGAAGATGACGATGACTTTGAGACCAGCTGGATCGCGGACCGGAGCTTGCAGGTATGGGGGAGGGAGGGAGCCCGGCTAGGAGCTCTCCCCGAACTGGACCCAGGGACGGGGGCCTGACATTCTGTAGACACTGGATGGCCTTCTCTCCCCGCCCAGGATTCTCACCCCGGCTTTTGAGGCTTCAGGTAGGTGTCAGTCTCTCCATTTCGCAAGTAGGGAAACTGAGGCCCAGAGACACAGAAGTGGCCTCTGGCAAGTTCGCGGTCTTGCTTGGCTGACCTCCCTGTTGGCTTTCTGCTCCTGTCCCCAACGGCCAGGTGTCCCTGCCGGCCGTGGACGAGATGCACCGGGACCTGCCCTGGAACGCCCCAGAACCACAGCCCCCTACACGGCCGCTTCTGCCCAGTCTTGCCGGCCTTCCTTCTTTGGCTCCACCTTCAACATCAGGTGGGCAGTGCCCGGGAACCCCTGCGGTGGGGAGAACCCCCCCATCCCCGTGCGTGGGCCCGCCCGGGAACAGAATGGCCTGGTTAACGCACACTGGAGCCCTCCAAGTGCCAGGCGCTGTGCTAAGCCCTCCTCCCCAGGAACCGGGGCTGGTTAGCTCCTGTGTTCATATGGTGAAGGCCCACTTCTCCGCCACACCTTCCCGCTTTCCGTGCCCTGCTTCCGGGCTCTTAGGTGCCTCCAGCCTAAGCCCCTGTGCCCCAGAGGGGCCCTGAGGCCAGAGAGGGAAGGACTTACTCGAGGGCAGTCAGTGAGTGACCAGGGACACCGCTGGGTGTCGGGGCCTGGTTCCTGACACTGGCCCAGAACTGCTCTCTGATAAGCCGGAGCATGTGGAGTGGCGGTGGTGGGATGGGGTGTCTCTGAAATGGGGGCGGGTGGGAGGCACACCCACAGAGGCTGGGTCCTCGCAGGCTGTGCTGCAGAGCAGAGGCCTCGCCGCCCACGTGGGTGCTGTCTCCCCGAAGTGGTCAGAACCCCTTTGCAGCTGCCGCTGGGCCTCCGTGGGCTGACGGGTCGCCCTGAAAGCTCTCTCAGCTGGGAGTGGAGAGGACTCTGGTGCATGTCTATCAAGGTTTCCCGTGTTAGGCTCAGCTCTCTCCTCGCTCTTTAAGGGCACAATATCCCGTTAGCTGGAACCAGAATTAGCGGGTACCTGAGCGGCATGAGCCAGGCTTGGGAAGGTGACTGATGGGGACATTCTGGAGGTTGCCTTCGATCTGCAGACCTGATCCAGCCATGGAAGGCTGTGGAGGGGGAGGGAGAGGCAGGAAGTAATGCATAGGCCTGGCCTCCAGGGAACACGCTTCAGCGAAACTGGATCCACAGCGCAGGCCCCAGAGGCCTGGGAGGGGGCAGGACAGAGGTCACTGTGGCCTCCTGGAGGGCCTGCAGCGGGGCCTGCAGCCTGGGGGTTTGGGCAGGGTGAGGCAGGCTGCTCTGGGTCGGTCGGTCAGGGGGGCTTTCTCTCACAGAGGAGAGGCCTTGAGCTCCGGAAGCCAGGCTTCTCTCCTTGGGACACGGTTGGGTGAGCTGGGCCGGAGGATGGCTGAGGGGGTACAGGATGGGTCAGGAGAGGCGGGCCAGGGCGCTGTGAGGAAGACTGTGTCTCTGACCTGGGGCCCCAGGGAGGGAGAGGGTGAGGGAGAAATAAGGTCGGGTTTGGTCCTTTGGTCCCCTCCTCAGCCCTCGGTGCCTTGCTTCTTTCCAGTCTGCACAAGGAAGAGATGGCGTTCCAGCCCGGCCCGGAGAGGCAGGGGAGGAGGGCACGCCCGCTGGCATCCTCCGCCGCCTCCTGGGCTGCAGTCCCCCCAGCCCCCACCAGGACGAGCTCCAAGACCAAGCTACTGCTGCCCAGGAAGGAAGGCCTCCTGCCTGAGGGCCCGCCCGAGCAGCTTGGGGTGCCATACAGCACTTCGGGGATGGAAGCTGGGGCGGGGGGAGAATGCAGCTAAGCCCCCTGCGCTGTATGGGAGGTCGGGCTACCACAGCACCCGGCAGACACGGCTCAGCCCCACCCCCATGGCGTTCCCACCAGCACCCCCTGCACCCGCCGGTCTCCGCTGAGGCCCTGGCGTCCGGGCAGCCCAGAGCCCGCAGCCTGGGGTGCAAGGGGCCCGGCGGAGCTTGGCGCTGCTCCCGGAGTGCGCAGGGGCCTCAGTGGAGCCCCTGGAGCTGGGTCACATCAAGAGGAAGACGGTGGAGTTTAACCTGACCGACACGTCAGCAGCCCCGAGAGTCCTCTCCGAGAACCACGCACGACACTCGGACCACGACCCCTACTGGGCCTTGGACAGCAGGTCTGTGCTCTGCGCCAGCCAGGCTCACCGCACCCTCCCTGGGCGCCCTCCAGCCCCACCCCAGCTCCCCTTGCTCTGAGCCTACCCTTCCTCCATGACTTCCTCATGGCTGACTTGTGCCAGCACTGGCTTGGGGCACACACTTGGCCACCTGGGCAGGGGCCCTAGGAAAGCGTTAGGGGCTTTGGTGTCCCCGGGAGGAAGTCCCTGCAGCTGCACTGCCGGGACTGCCGGGAAGGGCGACCAGCCCAGGCTTCGATGGGGAGAGGTTGTCCTGGGTCCAGCTCGCTTGGACAGCGTGGGAGACACAGAACCCCACGGGGCAGAGCTGGGAGCTCTAGTAGAAGCCCAAGAATTCAACTCCCTGCCCAGGGTTAGCTGAGGTTGTATAGGAGCAGTCAGTCCCCTAAAGACCAATCACTGGCCTGAAGCTTGGCAAAGGGCCACACCTTTGGATGGTGAGGGCATGCAGGTCCCTTGGGGGCATCGTTGCTTTGGGCACCTGCTCTCCCTGCTTCCTGGCGTCAATCCAAGCTGTCACACCCACCAGTACCCCCTGATCCCAACCTTAGCACCCACCCAGTTATGCATCTGCCCGCCCCACCCCCAGCACATGGGAGGGAAGTTTAACTTCCTATTTCCAGATTCTCAAGAAGTTACTTGTGGTCAGAATACACAGCTTGGAGATCTTAAAAGGGCCACCATCTGCCTAGCTCCCAGGGCTGGTTGGAAACGTAAAGGCCATGGTGACGGACTTGGGGTGGCCTGGCACCACCTTAATACTGAAGATGCCTCCCGCTGAGGCTCATGTTGTATTGGAATGAAGGTACCTTCCATATTCACATCAACTTTCTCAAATTTTCACAGGGACCAAGCACACTCCTAGCCCACCTCCCCAGGGACAGCGTCTCCGGCCTGGTCCGACCTGTGTGTACACTAGCGGTCCACACTGCCGGTCCTGACAGGCTGAATTAAATGGTTAGCTCAATGGAGCACGAGAATCCTTAGTTTCAGGGCTACCTAAGCCTTTAAATAAAGCCCTTTGTACATAAAAATAATGCAAGCTAGAATGAGCCACTAGAAACATGTAATTCAGAATCCAAATCCCACACCCAAGCCTTGGCATCTTCCACAAACTCAGAAGCTTCATAGAACTAAGGATTAATGAACTAAGAATTTTCATAAACAAAGTCCTGTTAGGCGTTTCATCTGTAACCAGTGTGAAGCCCGGCATTTACGGATTTAGCTAAGGCGGCCTGGATATACTGCAAGGCGATCCCAAGAATTTAAAGACAACAACTGGGTACCAAATTCCTTTATTTGAAGGAAGGTACAAATGAGAGGCATGAGGGCTGATTTGGTACAAGTTATAGAAAAGGGAAAGGGAACTCCAACATGCATACTGCTTGGTGACCAGGAAGTCACCCCCAAGGCTACCGGAAGCAGCCAAGGCTTAGCTCTCGTCACAGCTGCCCAGGGTGTGCTTGTCAAAGAGATACTCGGCCATGCCAGCTTCGGGGGCCCCCATCCTGCGCAAGTTGGTTACGTGGTCACCCAGTTCTTTGATGGATTTCACCTGCTCCGTCAGGTAGTGCGTCTCCAGGAAGTCACACAACTGCAAACAGAACGGGGAGGAAACGGTCAACTGCCAGCAGCTAAGGAATACCGTCTCTTCCCTTCCCTTCGCTCGGGCTGCCAATACTCACGTGGGGGTCATTTTTGTCAGTGGCCAGCTTGTGCAGGTCCAGTAGTGACTGATTCACACTTTTCTCCAAGTGCAGGGCACACTCCATTGCATTCAGCCCGTTCTCCCAGTCGTCACGGTCTGGTTTCTAAAAGAAGACGAAGAAGTTAGGGCAAGGCACCCAGTCTCGACCAAGCACACCATGGCAACGTGGCAGGCAAAGCTTTTGGTGAAAGGACATCTGAGTGTCCAACCCTCTCCTTCCCCCTCTAAGATCACTAAAAACAGACTGAAAATGGCGTCTGCGCCATTTCCCACCCCGAGGCGGCCGATTAGCCCGGCATCCAGGAGGGCCCTCACCTTGATATCCTGAAGGAAGATTCGGCCGCCGCGCTGGTTCTGCAGCTTCATCAGCTTCTCGGCATGTTCCCTCTCCTCGTGAGATTGGTGAAGGAAATATTTGGCAAAGTTCTTCAGAGCCACATCATCGCGGTCAAAGTAGTAAGACTGAAGGCGGAACAAGAGCGTTAGGTTAGGGGCGGGCTGTGTTCCTGGACTGAACACAACCACCATCACTTTCCACTCTGAGATGGGAGGAGGAAGCCCGGGCTTTGAAACGGGAAGTCTGGGGTAGGAACTTTGGAGGAATGGCCTCCGGTGCAAACGTGCTGCTGCCCAGTTCTCCCAGCCGGTGTCCCATTTCCCCGGAGGGAGTGCTGGTGAGTTTCCCCGCCTTCGCCCCCTCCTCCCTGGAGGCATGTCAAAACATGAGCGCGGCTTGCAGGCAGACAGCGATTTCTAAAATTAACCCCCGACGCAAGGTCACCACCGTGGCAACGCTCACGTCGGGAGAGGGCGTTGGATTCGCGTCTGCTCGCTGGGCTAGGAGCTCCTAACACCGAGCCCAGGTCTGCTCGCCAGCCATCCTGGAGGCGGCTTTGCGCGGGCCGCTGGCTCCCATCAGACAACTCCAACCAAATCTGTCCCCCCACCCCCGCCCCCAAACTAGGCTTTTGGGAAGCTGACCCCCACCCGCTACAGAGAAAAATGTCTTGCCCAGTAACTGTTGGTGGATTTTATCCAAGAACTGAGCGTCCAATCAGATTAGAGGGCTACAGTCCTTAGACCCCCCCCCCCCAAGGATAAAAAAAATGAAGGACGCAGGCACCAAGACGACCTGGTGTCCCCCAAACGGGAGCCGGCTCAGGGGCTCCGAGATAAGCAGGCCCGCGGGGTGGAGGCGGCGGCTCGGGAGTGGGCGCCCGCGGAAGATAAGCCTCTTCGCCCCGGCCCCCAAGTTGCTATTCGACACCATTACCCAGAAGGCTCCGGCACAGCTGGGGGAGGGGAGGGAGGGAGCCGGACTCTCGGCCCGTTAGCCAGGCAGGCCGAGGGCACCGGGGCACGTGATCGGACGCAGGGGAAGGGATGAAAAGGCAAAAACCCCTTCCCGGCTGCAGAGCTGTGTCCGCGGCCCGTGTCCCCGGAAGCCAGGCTCCCCGCCGACACAAGGCGGGGCGAGGGGGCGGCCCTCCCGGAGGCGGCCGGGGAGGGCCAGGCGCCCGGGGTTTCTGCGCACGGAGCGGCCTGGGAGGCCCCGCGCGGCCTCCATGTTCCCGAAGGGCGCGGGGGGCGCGGGGAGAGAAGGGGGAGCGGGAGCCCCAGCACAGCGGCCGCCCCGCCCCCGGGGAGCCGCCCGCACTCACCATGGACAGGTAGACGTAGGAGGCGTACAGCTCCAGGTTGATCTGGCGGTTGATGGCGGCCTCCGAGTCCTGGTGGTAGTTCTGGCGCACCTGCGAGGCGGGCACGGCGGACGTCATGGCGGCGGCGGCGGAGCGGCGGGGCGCGGCGCTGGAGCGGCGGCGGGGGCCTGGGGTCGTCCGGGTCCGGGTCCGGGGGTCTGAGGCGCTGCGAGGAGGAGGAGGGCGCTGCGAGGAGGCGGCGGCGGAGGCTGCGGGGAGCGCCGGTTCCGTCCAAGCACTGTTGAAGCAGGAAACCTGGCCGCTCTCCGCGGAGACTGTGGCGCAGGCGGCCGCCGCGGGCTTTTATAGCGGCGCCGCGTCCGCCCGCGCCGGCCAATCCCGCCGCCCGCCGCCGCCAAGCCCCGCCCCTTCCCCTGCGCGCGCCCGAGGGGAGGGGCTCATGGGGGGCCACGGGGTGCGTAGGGGCCACGGCGGGGGGGCGGGGGGCGAGGATGGGGGTGAGGCGGGGGGGGGCAGTGAGGTTGGGGGGTGAGGCGGGGGGGGCGGTGAGGTTGGGGGGTGAGAAGGGGGGGCGGCGGAGGGAGGGGAGGGGGATCTGCGCGGCGTGGAGCGCTCTGTGGGTTGGAGGGACGACCTAGGCGGGGGTGGGGGGCCCTGAGGGGTGGGGGGCGGAGGGTGGGGGCCCAGCTCAGGCCCGGACCCCAGTCCTGGACCGGACGGGAGGCCCCCCTGGCTAGGGGCGTCGGGGCGTCCGAGGTCCCTAAAAGCACCCGAGGCCCCAGGTCGGGAGCCTGGTGTCCGTGGCGGGTACCGCGCCCCGAGATCGTGGGACGTGGGAGGCCGGGAGCCGGGCCGGGCGGGCACACTGTCTCTCCCCGGGCCTGGGCGCGGCCGGGCGGCGGCTCCGGCTCCAGCGCGCTGCCCGCCTCTCCCTGTGCGGGAGGCGAACATGGCTCCCGGGCAGTTTGGGCGACAAAGGCGGGGCGGGGGGCGGGGGGGGCCGAGTAGCGGGAGTGTAGGGGGCACAGCTGTCTTCCCGAGGAGCCTGGGCGGGGCCGCCAGCTTTCTGAGAAAGTCGCAGGGGGCGCTTCAAACTCGGAGATCCGAGTTCAGGGGAGAAGGAGAGGCGGCTGGGAGCGGGAGAGGCCCGGCGGCCATGTTGGAGGGCCGCTTTGGTGGCTGGACGGGACGGGACGGCGCCCGGGGCGAGGCTTCTGGGGGACGGCCGGGTCAGGCTGGCTCCCAGGTTCCCTGTTGGGCACGGGGGTGGGGACCTGCCCCAGACCCGCTGGGGACGCTCACAAACGGGAAGCTGGACTTAACCTTAAAGAAAATAAAGAATTCTATTAAGATATCCCAACAAGTGCCCATGGGGTTGCGGTTCATTTCCAAATGAGCGCGAGACACCTTGGGGAGAAGAGGAGAGGGGGGAGAGCTCCACCGAAGGAAGCGGACCGGCGCTGGGAGAGCAGGGGGCAGGGGCCGCCAGGGACAGGAGGTCCCGGGAGGCTTCCCTAAGAGCGACCCGGTTCAAGGGCAGGTGAAGTGGAAGGAGGGGTCCAGGCAGAGAAGTCCACTGCACGGGTGTGAAAGTGCACACGGGTGTTAAGGTACAAACGTGCACACGGTGTGAACATACTCGGGTGTAAAGGTGTGAATGTGCATACAGATGTTAAGGTGCAAATGTGCACACGGGTGTTGAGTGAACTTGCACACGGGTGTTAAGGTGTGAGCGTGCACAGTGCCCCAGGTGCCTTGGGGCGGCGCACTGGCCTGGAGAGCAGAGTCCTGTTGGACAAGGCTGGGTGGGCGGCAGGGCCAGGCCAGGAGGGGCCGAGGGCCCTAGAAAGGGGTTAGGTGTTGCCGGTGGACATGAGACACAAGGGATTTCTAGCCAGGAAGATACCAGGCTGGTTTTGTTTTCCGAAACCTTACACGGAATCAGCAGAAAAGCGAATTAGCATAAGAGTACAGCAAAGTGACCCGTTGCAAAGTTTGCCTGTGTAACAGTCACCACAGTTAGAAAAGGTAATGAAAGAAAAATCATTTTACATTGGCCACAAGAGCTTGGAGTCCCGAGGAGGAAAGCCAACAGGAAGTGTGGAGAGAAAACTACACGTTCACCGAGGGGCAGGTAGAGAAACTGCACCAACAAGAAACCCACGTTTCCAGAGAGCCAGCCTCCGTTGTGTAGAGAAGTCAGTTCTAAAGTGAACTATACGCCGGGACCGGTTTGGCTCAATGGATAGAGCGTCGGCTTGGGGATCGAAAGGTCCCGGGTTCGATTCCAGTTCTGGGCATGTACCTTGGTTGCGGGCATATCCCCAGTAGGGGGTGTGCAGGAGGCAGCTGATCGATGACTCTCTCTCATCGATGTTTCTAACTCTCTATCTCTCTCCCTTCCTCTCTGTACAAAAATCAATAAAATATATTTTAAAAAATAAAAATAAAGTGAACTTATACATTCAATGCAACGTCTAGAAAACTCGGTGGTTTGGGGAAATTGACAACTTCTGACGTTCATTTGAAGGAGTACGTGTATAGAATACACAATAAGCATTGGGGGAGGGGGCACCAGGGAAGATTCGCCCTCTTGGCACACAGTTTAAAAATCGCTGTAAAGCCAGGACCGGTTTGGCTCAGTGGATAGAGGGTCGGCCTGCGGACTGAAAGGTCCCAGGTTCAATTCCGGTCAAGGGCATGTACCTTGGTTGCGGGTACATCCCCGGTGGGGGGTGTGCAAGAGGCAGCTGATCGATGATTCTCTCGCATCGATGTTTCTAACTCTCTATCCCTCTCTCTCTCTGTGAAAAATCAATAAAAATATTTTTAAAAAATCACTGTAAAGTACTGTGAGCGGTTGGTACTGGCACAGGAAGACATGAGCCCATCGGCAACAAAAAGCCTTGCCCCATGGAAAGGGAACTGGAAAGGGAACTGGGCAGGTGCTGAAGCAGCATTTCAAATGAGGGAAGTAAGAGCAGTGCAACACATCACGTTGGCACAGTGGCGAGTCATGCGAAGACAATGACTCACTGTGTTTCAAAACACGCTCCAGATGGACGGGAGAGCCGAGCTGACAAGAAAGAAGCTAATGAAGTTGCTCGAACGAATGTACAGAAGATGCTCTTAGGATTTGGGGGCAGGGTGTGTGCTTCTGAGGCCGTCAAGGGCCATAAGAGGACAGCTGGCAGATCTGAGGCAAAAGATGCCATAAACAACGTTCAAGTTCAGATGGCCAGCAGTAGTGAAGATGCATAGCCATAGTGTATGTCCTTGTGGAAGTCACCCCTGCCAATGCCTCTTTCCTCTTCTTCCCCGCTATGGTGAGCTGCTGGAATAGGCACCACTTCTGTCTTCATCCTGGGCTCCAAGCATTTGGCAAGGTGCTTGGTGCTCGGTGCTCAGTGTTGGTGGAATGAACAGATGGCGGCGTGGATTGAATGTGCAGGATGGATGGGGTCAGGCCGGAGGCTGGGTGCCGGCTGGGAGACAGCAGCCCCAATTCTCACTGAGCCGAGGCACATAGGGGGGTCTGGGAGGCCTGGAGAAGACCCGACTGGATGAGGTGGCTGACTGGGTGTCGTGGGGGGTAGAGGTGAGGAGTGGGAGCCATTCACGGAGACCGGGAGCGCGGGAGGACATGCAGTTTGGGGGAAGGCCAGCGAGGCTTCGGACTGAAGGGGCTGTGGTGGGCAAAGCCCAGGGCGGGGGCTGTGGTGGTGGCTGTGAGGAGTGAGAGGAACATCTTGAGCTGGAGTGTGGGTGTGTGTGGGTGTGTTGCTTAGGGCATTTCCACTTTCTGGGAACCCAGGGTGTCAGAACTGCCAACTCGTTGCTTCTAGAGTCTTCCGAAGCCAGGGCCTGGTCTTTGGACCTTTGTTGACAAGGATTCGGCCTCCCTCCCCTGGGCCCAGCTCCTCGTGACTCTCACTCTGAGGCGGGGAGTTGGCTGGCCTCCAGGGCAGCAGCCTCGGTGGGCGGAGCCACCGGCGAGAAGAGCTGCTATGGTTTCTGGAAGTCTCAGGGGTGGGTGTGGGGTGGGGGTGGAAGCTGCTGTCCCACGGTGACTCAGCACTCTGCTGGTCCTCAGGGCCTGGCCCCAGGCTCCAAAAGTGCTTGGTCATGGAGGGAGGGGGGAGGGCTGGAAAGCACCCCCACTTCCTCCTGTGGCCGGCTGCCCAGCTGCAGGACAAGGGGTCCTCGTCACATACCCCACTCAGGGCCTTCCTGCCTCCTGGGGAGTTCTGCAGAGAGGCCGCTGTGGGATGCCTCTTAGCCTTCCTCGGCTGGAAAAGCCACAGAATGTCAAGGCGTAGGAACGGCTTTAGGATTTACAGATACAGAGGTGGAGCCTGGGCGCTGGGTTGGTTGAGCGTCTTCCCGTGCATGGGAGAGTCGCTGGTTTGATTCCCGGTCCGGGGTACATACGGGAGGCAACCAATAGATGTTTCTCTCTCCCCCTTCCCCTTTCTATAAACACCAATAAAAACATATATTTGAAAGGAAGGAAAGAAGGAAGGGGAGAGAGCGAGAGAGAGAGAAACAAGGAGAAAGGAAGGAAGGGAGACGGGGGAGTCCCATAGAAGTCAGGCCATCGTCACTGGCAGGAACAAGCTACAGTGAGGACGGGGCGTGCACTGGGACGCAGCATGGTTCTTGAAAACAGCGACGTATTCCTGGGATGCGTGTGTGATGCTGATGGAAAAGCAGAGCCCAGACTGAGCCGAGCGGATGACCCTGAAGGAGCACCATAGGCGGGAGCAGGGAGGCAGGGAGAACGGTTGATAAGGTTTAACGGGAGAGCCGGTGCTTTAACATCTGGGATTCCCCTGAGGTTAAGTAGAGGGAAGTGTGTAAGAATGTAAGGTTCGGGAATTTCGAAACTGGAGAAAACAATACTGAGTAAGGCCGGTACATTCCTGGATGGTGCAACCATGACTTGGCTTGTCCTTCGCCGATTCTTGAAAACCCGTGGAGCAATGCAGGCTCACAGCCTAGGCTTTTCCAGGAGGTGAAGGTCGCATCCTGACCGGGATGTGGACAGTAACAGCAGGCCTCGCTGCCTCGGGAGTTCTGAGGGGAGGGGCCCACACACACCTCGGCCAGACCTCCCGCCAGGCCCTGGCTTGGCTTTGCTTGTCTGCCTTCCCCCTAGACCCCTGAGCTCCATTTCTGCTGTGCCCCAGTCCCTAGCCCAGCCCCCGGCCTCCGTGCCCCCAGCTCCTCAGCCTGCGCCACAGCCAAGCCCTGGCAGCGCTGGGTCACTGGCTTCGCCGTGGACTCTCCGGTGTTTACCCTCGGGCTGTGAGTAAACACC